GCGATATATATTATTTTTCACGTGGATATAAGAAAACATAAACATAAAAATAAACATAAACATGATGATCGATGTGTTTTTGACTCACGGAAAAACATGCAAAAAAAAAAAAAAAACGTTAACGAAAACATTTTTTTTTTTTTACTTTTACAAAAAAAAAATTTATATTCGGGAAAAAGAATAAGATTTTCCGTGTTGTTATTATTATTATTATTAATATTAATTCGTTAGGTTAACATCTTATCAGGTATATATAAAAAAACTAGAAGTATTGTAATGCTATCGATCAATAATGTGGAAGACCAGTCCCCCCCCTCCGTGTTGGGGGTCAGGGGCTGGCGACTCGTTCACTGAACTTAAAAAAAAAAAAAAAAAAAAAAAAAAAAAAAAAAGTGAATCTCGTGGTGGAGAGCAGGCTTTTTGGCTTTGGTAATGTCATCAAGAGAGGAATAAGAAGTTGGTGGTGGGGGTAGTGGTAATGGAGGAGGTGGATGAAGAGGTTGAAATAGCAGTGCTACGAGCCATCAAAACATTAAACCGGAGTCCTGCCTAATGTTCAAAACTCACATGCGATTTTCACATTTTTTTTTTTTTTTTTTTAATGTTATTATTATTATTTTTTTTTTCGCGAGCGAAAGAGCGAGCGAGTGTTATTTTCGTTCCATTATTATCATTATCATCATCATTATTATTATTTTAATGTATAAAAAATAATTTTTTTTTTTTTTTTGAATATTCACAACTTTGTCGTTGATTCGAGACGGTAGTAAACCTTAATTCGTTCATTGAAAACATTCCAAAAGTTTTTTTTTTAAAAAGTCAAGTTTAACTATCGATTATTATTATTATTATTATTATTATTATTATTATTATTATTATTATTATTATAACGATATAGAGTGACCTCACTTAAATTGACCGCAAATCAATGATAAAATTTAAAAAAAAAAAATTAATGTCTTTGACATTTAATGAAATCCTAAGAAGGGTTGAAGTTTTAGTGAGAAGGACTTCCGGTCAATTAAAGGGAATTTGAAAATTCAAAAGGAAAACTTCGTCAAAACGATAATAATAATAATAGTTAAATTCGTAACGGAATTTGTTCCATTCTTTCTTTCTTTCTTTAAACTTTTTGTTTAATTTTACCAAAAAAAAAAAGGCTAAAAAAAACTCGTATTAATAAACGTAAAAATTTCAAAATACCGTAAAAAAAAAAAAAAAGAAATTTAAAGTTTCATTAGCAGACGATTTTTTTTTTTTTTTTGTGAATTCCAAAAGAATTTTTTTTTTTTTTCGTATTACTCATGATCTATAATTCAAATCTCATTTAATTTCGTTCATGTGAAATAATAACGTGTCAGTAGTATATGTGGAAAAATAATAATAAACGTCGACATTTTTTTTTTTTTTGGGATGATGAGAAGTAAAAAACAAAATGGCGTCCGTCCGTGACGTCCGGAGGAATTTCCTCCATTATGTAAAAAATCTTTTTCCATGGCAAAACTAATAAAACAAAATACGTACGTTCTTACTTTTAGCAAATACATTTGGAAAATTAAAAAAAAAAAAAACCAAAAAAGTACGATGGCGATGAGGACGACGAAGACGAGGACGACGAGAACGACCATAATAATAATAATACTAATAATAATAATAACCATTAAAATAAATGCATTTTCTATTTTAAAAAATAAAAAAATAAAAATAAAAACCTTCCGAATTAAAATGGTAATATAAAAAAAAATTTTTTATTTTAATTTTCACCGTGAAAAATTTTTAAAAAGAAAAGTGCGTGAGTGCGCATGCGCGGGACCGCGTAAAAAAAAATTTTTTTTTCTTTTTCATTTAATTAACTTATTAATTCTCGTGCGGAATTTTTTCATTCTTTACCGCACACAACAATTATTATTTTATTATAATGACTCAAAGGAAAGAGAAACAAAAAAAAAAAAAAACACTTTTTATTATTATTATTACCACTGTCGTAATAATAATAATAATAATAATAATGGCGGTCACCATTAAAATAATTAAAATAATAATAATAATAATAATAATTCGAGTTTTTAATGACTAATAAGTTACATGTTTTGACAATTTAATATTATTTTATTTCACGTTTGTTACTTTGTTTCGTTCGTTCGTTCGTTTGTTTGTTTGTACTTTTACTACACACACAAACACACCTTTTACCTCTTCGAATCCCCAAAAATCGCGCACGAATCCCAAAATTTTAAATCCCCCTTTTTTTTTAGTGTTTCATCCCCCTACAACAAATTGCAATTTCGAAAGAAGAAGAAAACATTCAACGTTTTCCTTTTGTCTCACCTCTTCCCCCTCCTCCTCCTCATCCTTAGCATCATTCTCATCATCATTATTATCATCTCGAGGGCGTTCGCTTCGTAAACAAAATTTTTTTTTTTTATAAGAAGGTGAAGATTTTAAAAAGGTCATAAGAAAACATTTTTTTTTTTTTTTTTTAAATAATTTAATACGACGAAAAAAAAAAAAAGAGTAAAAACCATTTTAAAAAATCGTTTATTTCCTTATGTTTAGTCTTTGAGCCCCTTTTAATCCTTTTTTTTTTTTTCAAAATGAAAATAAATACTTAAAAATAATATTAAGAACAACAAACAACAAACAACAACAACAATAAGTTTTTCATTTACTCCATAATTAACCAAAAAAAAAAAAAAACCCATTATTTCGATTTAAAATTATTAAAAAAAAAAATTTTCTCTCGCTTAATGTTCCTTTTTTCTCTTTACGGATTAAACCATTCAAATTCATTTTTTTTTTAATCATTTAAATAATAATAATAATAATAATAATAATAATAATAATAATAATAATAATAATAATAATAATAATAAGTAATACTAGTAGGAGCCATAACACAAATCCCCCCAAAGGATTCGAAAAAAGCTCGTTTAAAATATTTTTAGGGGGGGGGGGAATAATAAGAAACGATTAAAATGCGTGGTTTTTTTTTCTTTAAAAAATTTTCTCTGATAATGTATACAAAACAAACAAACAAACAAACATTTCGAATACTACAACAAACGGTAAAGAAACGGGTAGAGAGAGACAGAAAGAGCCATATGAAAAAAAAAAAAAATACAAGTAAAAACTCGAAAATTTTACGAATGAACAAACAAACATTGATTAAAAAAAAAAAAAATTTCCCGCGTTTTATTTTTCGTCGAAATAAACCGGAAATGAATTTTTTTTTTTTTACACGTCGACCGTCACGTCGTTATCATTATTGATAACAAAAAAATTTGATTAAAAAAAAAAAAATCGCAACAATTCGTTAATTTAATCCGACTTTTATATTTATATGCAAACATACGTAAAAAAAAGGAAGGTTAACAAAGGAAATTTAACGTTCAATCGACCATTTACATTTATAATATTAAAAGAGAAAGAGTGAGAGAGAGAGAGAGAGAGAGAGAATACACACACGTTGAACTTTTAAAACGATAATAATAATAATAATAACCTAATCGAGAAAAAGAAAAAGACAAAATCGACTCAATTTTTCTTTTACTTGCGCTTGTTTTCAATTTATTATTATTATTATCACACCATTAGTATTATTGTCATCATTAAATAAAAAAAGAGGAAAAGAAGAGGAAGAAAAAGAGGAAGAAAAAATTGCAACTTTTTTTTTTTTTTTTTTATTAAATAACGTAAAACACGAAGGAATTTTTTTTTTTTGGTTCTAAGAAAACGTAACGAAAAACGTTTTTTTTTTTTGTTTTTGTTTCATTTAAAAACAATTCACAATGGATACTAAAGTCACGAAATGTTGACAAAAATAAAAAAAATGATTTTAAATCTTTTTTTCATTGTTTTCTTATTTTTTATGAATGATTTCGATTCGATCGAGAGAGAGAGAAAAAAGGAAAAAAAATGGACGGACGAACGGACGTGAAATAATAAGGAGGGGGAGAAGGAGGAAGGCGGGGGTGTATGCGGGTTGTGTAAAAACCTGCGTTCGACAACCGTTCGCAACAACAACAACAACAACCGTTCGATTTTCCCATCGTTTCGAATTAAAAAAAAAAAAAATAATCAACCTGAATTTTGTAAACATCATTGAAAAAATTTTATTGTAAATAAAAAAACGTACCTTGGCAACAGGATCCAATAATTTAAACCTGATTATTAAACATTCGTTTTTTTTTTTCTTAAAAAAAGTTTTTCTCATTTATTTAATTTAAACGTAAATATACGCATGTGTACGCATACGTACGCACGTAACAAAACCACCGCGATACACGCACATATATATAAATAAAATCTTTTTTATTCTCTCTCCCTCTTTCTCTCTCTGTCTCTTTTCCCCGAAACAAAATTATTATTATTATTATTATTTAGAAAAAAAAAAAAAAAAAAAAAAAGAAAAACGATTTTAACGAACTAACTTAGTAAAGAGTGAGTTCGAGACTGAGGCAAAACGAATGACAATCAGATTTTAACTTGTTGCAAGCAATGAAAATGCTTCAACCGTTTTATTGTAACGGTGTGCAGGTATAACCTAAACATTACTTAGCTTACGGTTTTTTAATTTTCCTCCACCACCACCACCTTCCGCCTCACACCGGATAAAACTAGTATAAATGGTGGGTTAATAAAAAACCGAAAGGAAAATTTTTTTTCCTTTTTTTTTTTTCCGTCTCTAATTACTTTCATCCTTTTTAAATGATGATGATGATGATTGGAAAATGGATGGAAAATTAAAATTTTAATAAAAGATATTATGTAGTAATTTTTAAAAAAAAATTACGGACACATACGAAAGGTTGCAAAAGGGGTAAGTGATGGAAAGGGGAGGGGGCGGAAGGGTCAGAAGAAGAAAAACGTTTGTAAAATGTAAAAGTTTAAAAGAAAAGTGTAAAAACAACTAACACGTTATCATAATATTTATAAAATTTGATCGGTCCAAACAAAGGTCAATGCACGAACCATAAGTACCAGTCAGGTGTAGACAAGTGTTAAAAACCAGAAAGATCTGGAAGGTGCCTGCTTGCATATTTGACTCGCACATATAATAAAAATTTAAAATTTTTTATTTTTTATATAAAGAAAAATGAATGAGTTGGCAGCGTTTAGTATAAGGCAAAACATCGAATGTTTTATATATGAAAGAAAATTTGTGTTAAAACCGTAACGTTCTTCTTTTTTTTTTTTAAATTATTTACACTATCAGGGAATGATAAAGAAGAATAAACTGGAGAACGATAAGAAAATAATCGATAACAATCGATAAACTGGAATTTTCCAAAAATTTGTTTCCAAAAATGATTTTTCTCCATTTTTCGACTTTACGTCAATGTGTGACGTATTTCGTAATTTGTGAAAGAAAAAATTTAAAAAACTTACCGCTTACGGTTGTTGTCGTTATCTGGTTGTTGTTGTTGTTGTTTGTTTCCTCGTTTTCATCATCGTATTTTTCATCATTTTCTTTTTCCACGTTTTTCTTTATCGTTTCTTCTTTTATTGTTTTGTTTTTACATTCGTCGAAATTTTCATTATCGAAATTTTTATCTTCTTCAGCGACGTTTTCTTTTCTAGAATTTTCTTTTTCGCATAATGAAAATATTTCGTTTGTTACGTTTCTAAAAAATAAATAGAATGTTTTTTAATTTTGTAATTGAATTACAATACGCGACAATCAAATTAAACTCTAAAACTTACTTTCCATTATTTTCTTCGGTTACGGTATTGTCTTCTTCGTCTTCGCCTATGGTTTCCAATTGTTTTGTCGAACTCCACGGATACATAAAATGAGATTCGTTATTATTATCATCGTCGTCGATGTCGTCGTCGTCGCCGTTGCCAACAACGTTAGAATCGAAATTTTTTATTTCTGGTAAAAGTTTATCGAGTGCGTTTGTCGTTGATATTTCAATATCGTTACTTTCATTCGATGTATCATTTTCCGTCAGTGTTTTTAAATTTGGCACTTCCCATGATAAAACTTTTTCCATTTCCGTTTGTTTTGACGTTGTTGTTTCTTGAGTTTTCAGTTCGACAACAGCATCAATTGTACTTTCATCATTATTATTATTATTATCCGCGGCATCAACATCATCCGTTAGTGTCATTTGTTTTTCTTTATTTAAATCTTCGAATTTTTCTTCTTTTGCTTTCTTTTCTCCTTTTGAATACTTTTTACCGTCATCACTTTTACTCTTTTTCTTCTTTAAATAAGGTATTGATGATTTTAATGTTTTATTTTCGGTGTCCGACGGAGGACTTTGACTCATGTTGTCACTACCAATCGGAAGTGGCGGAGGTGGTTTTTTTTTATTAAAACGTGATTTACTTCCTTCTACTTTTGATTCTTTTCTAGGATTGGGTTTGGGTGGGGAAAGCAATCCGATACTTTTAGCAAGACGCGGTATAAGAGATGGTTTTTTCGAAAGAATAGAACCTTTTTCTTTGTTTTTCCCGTCGGAGTATGCGGATGAATCTAATTCGTTAACGTTATCATCTCCGTTGTTTCTCGATAAATTCGAACCGTTGACTTCTTGGAAAAATTCTAAATTTTCCGTAAGATTCGTACGCATTTCTTCATTACCGTAACTTAATGGAGCATCTTGAAAACTCAACGGAGGTTGCAATGGAAATATTTCATCTGTGCAATTCGAAATACGTTCATCGTAATTCAACATGTTGTCGTGATCTTTTCCATTCATTAATTTTGAAAATAAAAAATTATTATGATTATTATTATTATAATTACTGTTGTTGTTATTGTTGTTAGAATGTTCGATTAGCATTCTTGACAATTCAAGTACTGGAGTCGTAGGTTCGCTGGTGGGAGTTGAAGGGCTTGTCGAATCGCAAAAAGAACTTGCAGATGATCTAAGATCTGAAAAACTTGAATTGGTCGTGTTTGGAATTGAGGAAAGACCGACGACAGTCGAAACCGTGCTGCAAGTATCGTCAGATTCGGATTCGCCATTTTTACAATCTTCTTGTGCAAGAAGATCTAAATAAACTTTTGCCTCCGGAGGAGCTAATTTAGGATCGAAACCGTTTATTTTTGTTGAACGCTTCGATAGCTCTGGAGATTCTAAATTTTCTTTTTGAGGGACTCGAATAACCTGTTTAGATGGTTTTTTACATGCATCATCTAAACCATTGTCGATCGTTCTGGTTTTCGGTGTCGGACTACTACCTTTTTTAAAATCACAAAATTCTTCCGGTGGGCTAACTGTTGCGGTTTCTTCTTTACAAACAGAAGACGTCGAATTTTTTTTTGTCATTTTTCTCGGAGGTACGGGCGGTGGTGGTGGAGGTACATTTTTTTTCATTTCCGCACTAACAACGGTCGGAGGTGAAGATGATGATGATGATGAAGAAGATGATGAATTTGTATTATCTATTTTATTATTACTACCGTGCTGAAGAGGGCATGATTTCCGGCTTTTATGTCTTACGTATAATTTAATTACAACACTAGATTCTTTCAAGCACCTTACGCAATCTAATCGGGTCATATTTTTTACTACATGACCATCAATTTTTAATATTTCATCTCCTTCGATTAACGAACCCCAAGAACATTTTGCTCTCGAAGCAGGACTATCGGGTGCACTCGATTGAATGAATAATCTTTTAACATTTTCGGCCGTGTTGGTGCCACCTTCGAATTTTAATCCGAATCCTAATCTTTCACCGGGAAGACGATAAACCAAAACTTCTTCTTCCAATTCATTCTGTGCAGATTTTTTATCAGCGTCTCCAATGGCTAAAATAGTAACAAAAGAAGAATTTTCTTCTCTTTTTTTCCCTTCTTTTTCACCGGCGTTATCAACTGATACAACCGTTATAAAATCATCCGTCATGGCGTTATCGGAATTACCCGTGGGACTCGGTGAATCCTCAGAATTCCAATCAATATAAGCTCCCGAATCCTGACTTTGTTCTCTTTTGTGCCCGTGGCAAACTTCCAAAGACGAACCGTCTTGAAAAGAAGCCATTTTGAATAAAAAAATCTTATAAAATCATTTTTTTTTCTTTTTTTTCTTTTTTTTTTATATGTATGCAGAAAATGCAATTTAAAATTTCAATTCAAAACACGTTGTTTTTCATCACAACCCTGAAAATAAAAAAAAATAAATAAATAAATAATAATGATAATAATAATTTAAAAAACTGTTAATGTTTAATAAAATAAATTTGATTAATAGTAATAATAATTATTTTAAAACGACATTGCCAATTTTTTTTTTTTTCGTATCAGGTGCCCTCATTTTTTTTTGATAATAAAAATATTTTTTTAAAAAAAAAAAACTTGAATGTAATTACATTTTTTTTTTATGGCATTGAAAGTAGTGTGTAAATTACAAAGAATTTTTTTTTTTTTTTTGTAAATTACAGAAAAATATTAACTCCTCGTGAAAAAAGTAAAAAAAAAAAAATTCTTTTATATGGTTAAAAACAATTAACCTGGGAAATAACACAACACAACACAAAACGGTAATCCGTCAAGCATAAAAAAAAAAAAAAAATCTCATTTTGTGAATGTGTTACTATGTCAGGAAGGAAAACATTATTTGGTCGACAACAACAACAACAACAAAAAAGACTTACGAGTAACGAAAAAAAAAAAAAAAAACAACAAAGTAAGTAAAATTAAAATAATTTAAAAATTAACAAAATTCTTTTTATGCAACAGACACAAACAACAACAAACTAATAAAATATCAAACGACATAATTAATCATTGATATTAATTTTTAAATTGGAAGGAGTACTCGTTTATTTATTAAAAAATAAATTAAGTAATTGTTTATTATAAAAACAATCGATACCTCCTGATCATTTTGACCGTGAAATAATTATATTAAAAAAAAATTGTAAAAATTTTTACTTATACGAATGATAAATCAAAAACGAGGAAGGAGTACAAACAACCGGTTTTTTTTGTTGTTGTTGTTGTAATGCAAGAGTTCTTTCTTTAATTTATATATATATAAAAATTTTTTTTTTGCGTTTTTTCAGTACGTTGAGCACCTGCATTTTATAAATGTAGGTCGTATAAAAATCATGAAATTTAATGGGAGAATTAATATCACGTAAATTGTTAAGTATAAGAAAAAAAAAAAAAAAAGTTTTATAATTGGTCTGGCAAGGCGCAACGGTTTTTATGTGTTTCAAATGAGAGAACAATTGCCAAGGTTTTTGCCATTTCCCATTACAATTTTTCCTTTTTTCCTTTTGCATACCATTTAATAACAAATGGAAACAAAAGTTTTTTAAGCATTAATAAGAAACAAACACGATTTAGTGACATAATAACTTTGATATTAGCCTACCTATTTATTCTTTTATGTTTTATTTATTTTTTCCAATACCTCACATCAATTATAAAATAGAGAGAGAGAGAGAGAAAAAAACCTTTACGTGAAAAAATAAAAGAAATTAATAATAATAATAATAATAAAACAATAAATGAAAACGTTTGTGCTAATTATAAAAAAAATCATGCATGGATTCTTTGATATTTTTCATTGTTTTTTTTTTCTTTCTAAAGAAATATTTATTATTATTATTATTATAACTTATCAGGAAAACAATGAAAAGGTAAAAAAAAAAAAAAAACTAAATGAATAAGGGAAAAGAATTTTACATAAATACGCCACTGATATAAAATGAGGAAATGTCATTAGTATTATTATTATTAACCATTAAGTAAAAAAGCAAACCTATTTATTCGTAATTGTAAAAACCGCTCACCCGAACAACCGATTCATCGTCATAATAAATAATAATAATAATAATATAACAATGGATTGCATAATTAGCAAATTTCAATTGCATTTTTATTATTATTATTATTATTTTACGACGATTGTAGGCGGACTCATATGAGAAAAAAAATGATAACGATGATAATGGAAAATTATAATTTTTTAAAATACTGTCCGGGGGTGGGGGTGTGGGGGGTGGAGGGAAATTTGAATTTATTTATCACGGGATACGTCATAGAATTTTTTTTTTCGTATTGCAATGAGAATGATAATAATGATAAAACAATTCCAGGCGTTTTTATTTTTTTTTTATCAATGTTAACTACGTAATTATTGGGAGTGCCTTTTAAATTTAATTTTTTTTTTTTTTTATGTTTCTCATGTTTCAAAACATTTTTCACACGTATTGAGATCGATTTTACCTTCCGCGTTTGTGACTTGAAAACACAGACGACACACGTGAATGGATTTTAATTTACAAAAACAAAAGCAGAAAGAAATAGAGAGAGAAAAAAAATTTTCGATTCGATTGTTTCATCGTTTTAAATAAAAAAAATACTTTACGTTAAGAATTGATGATGTTATCCTTCTTCATTTCAACAAGTACAAACAACAAACAACAACTTGTTTTCTTCCTCAATGTTATTTTGATATCCAGAAATGGAACCAATAGGAGACGATCAAACAATCTTCAATCAGCAAATGTTTGTGAATGTGTGAAAATATTCTTGGACGAATTTGAAAATTTTTCTCAAAATTATTTTCTTCTTTCAGTCATTCATTCATTCATTCAAAATGTCATCGTGATTATTTACCCTGAAAAATAAATTTATTATTATTATTATTATTTAAAAAATTATTTAATTTGATTCGGGGTAAGTAAAACGTGTAAAATGTCAGACTGATTCTTTGTGTGTGTGTGTGTGTGTGTTAAAAATGAAATAATGCAAATACGATTCGTGAACGTATAATAATATTGAAAGAGAGAGAGAGAAAATGAGAGAATGAGTGAGAAAGAGAGAGAGAAAAGAGGCTGGGTAATAATTTTTAGTTGCACGGATCATTTGATGCGTGCAACTTTTTTTTTTTTTTGCGCACCCGTCTGAAACACTTTAGACCCAAGAACAAGATTTCTAGAAAGAAATGTAGTTTAAAGTGTTTTTTTTTTTAGCAACGAAGCAAGATGGAATTTGCTTTTTTTTTACGATTCGTTATGTTTCTCTCTCTCTCTCTCTCTTTCTCTCTCAAAGTCAGGCACATTTGATTTTATACGCATTTGTTTGAATGAAAAAATAAATAGCGCTTTTTTTTTTTTTAATATTTTATTGTTTCGTTCTAGACCCGTAAAAAAAAGGTAATATTTTCACTTTTTATTAATATTGACCGAAATAAAATAAAGAAAAAAACAACTAAACAAATATTTAATAATAATAATGATGACGATGATGATGATTTTCTCTTGTGTTTCGTCTTGTGCACCCTATTTTATTTTTTAATTCGGTCGGGTTTTTGTTGTTGTTGTTATTATTATTATTATTATTATTATTATTATTATTATTATTATTATTATTATTATTATTATTATTATTATTCGTACGGGAGGAATTACAAGTTGAGTAAAAGATTTGTTGAATAGCAAGTTAAAAAGAATCAAAGATTGGAATCTAGTTAGAAAGTGGGTGCAGCAAAAAGTTAACTGTAATAAATAAAGTTGGTAAGTCAAGTATATATTGTTTGTGTTAGCTTGAAGTGACCTCCTCCTTTTCCTCCTCCTCCTCCTCCTCCCCTTCTATTGAAGCTTCATTATCTATCGAGTTTATTGGTTGCCCTCATCGATATATCGAAATATATTTTTTTTTTTAAATTTAAAAAAAAAAGAAAAAATTTCCATAGAATCGTGTTTTATTTATATTTATCTAAATCTTTAACGTATTAAAAATAAAAAAAGTATTTAAATAATAATAATAATAATAATAATAATAATAATAATAATAATAATAATAATAATAATAATAATAATAATAATAATAATAATAATAATAATAATAATAATAATAAAATTTCATTTTAATTTTAATTTAACCGTTGAAAAATTTCTTTTTTTTTTTTTTAATCGATATTTTTTTTTTTTAAATATTTACTTAAGTAAATTGAAATAAATTACGAAGGTTGATTATCATCATCATCATCACCATCATCATCATCATCATCATCATCATCATCATCATCATCACCATCATCACCATCATCATCATTTTTTGTTTTAGGAAAAAAAAACAAATTTTTTCCCACTTTTCCCCCCTTCTCAACGAAAAAAAAATTTGTAAATCTATTTTTTTTATTTATTAAAATAAAATTTTTAACAATTATTTATTATTTTTTCTTATCAACGTCTTCTGCTTCTTCTTCTTTTACGTCATTTAAGTGTGAATATTTTGTTTCTCTTTGTTGTAAATGATAAAAACTTTCATTATTTTATTTAAAAACAAAAAGAAAAATTATTTAAAAATTAAACTCCACCTTAAAATAAAAAAAAAAAAAAAAATTACCCTCGAGTTCTTCTTCTTCTTATGAAAAATATTTATTATTATTATTATTATTATTATTATTATTATTATTATTATTATTATTATTATTATTATTATTATTATCATTATTATTATTTTTTTAAATTTATTACGATGAAGAAAAAAAAAAGAAAAAAATTTGACTTTCAAATTGAGTGAAAGCAGTTTTTTTCGATAAATGCAATAAGTTAAAAATTGAGCTTACGGTGAACCCTTTTATTATTATTATTATCATCATCATCATTATTATTATTATTTTACGTAATTAATAAAAATTCTATTAAAATAATTTTCACAGATAATTTCTATTTATAAATATAAAATTATACGGTTCACTAAATTTAAAAAAATTTATTATTAATATTATTATTATTATTATTATCATTATTATTATCAATCACGACGATGATGATGATGATGATGATGATGATGATGATAATTATTAATTTTTTTTTTTTTTTTTATTAAGGGTAATGTATAAGAAAAAAAAAAAAAACAATTTTTATTTTCAACTTTCATTTTTTTTTTTTTAAATAAAAAAATTTCGAATCGAATCGAAAAAGAAAATTTCTCGTTAATAATAATAATAATAATAATAATAATAATAATAATAATAATAATAATAATAATAATAATAATAATAATAATAATAATAATAAT